GGTGGATCGGTGCTGTCTGCAGCCACAGCCAATTCCTCCCCCAGAGATGCACGTTGGCACTTGGAGGATACCACGAAGCCACAGGAAATCCATAGAGAAGGAGGGCAGGACTTTCCAGGAAATTCGTGTTTCACCCCTGCCTGTGACCCCCCCCCAGCAGCGCTGCACCCCCACAAGAGGAGCTGTGTGGTCCCCGGGTGCTTCGGGCTGCTGCTTTTAGATAAAAAATAGGCTTGTCTTTATGTATGACTGCAACATAAGCCTATCCGAAGGGCAGGGAGGGGACAAGAGGATTCTTGGGGCACGTGTGTGGCTGCAGCCTGGGCTGGAGGGTGTCAGAGCTCTGCAGGGAGCCCGGACCTGACCTGTGTGGGCAGAGCTGGGCACAGCATCTCCTGGGTTGCTGCAGCTCAAAGGACCCCAAATCCTGCCCTGCCTCCCACCAGGGCTTTGGGGATGGGGCTCTGCTGGGAGCTGCCAGCACTCCCTTTGAAGGAGGCAGGCTTGGATTTTTTTCAGGCAAAACCATGGCTTTTTTGGAAGGGAGCCTCTTGGCCTCTAGGGAGTTGGAGCACGGGAAAGGTGCAGCCTCCTGTCAGCTCCAGGTGCTGGGCAGGGCTGGCAGCTGCCCCTGCTGCCTCCCAGCTGTAGAAAGGCATCCAGCAGAGCCCGTGTGCTGGCAGCTCCCGAGGTGGGCTTCTGCCCCCTGTGAGCCCAGGCGTGGGGGCTGCTCCAGCCAGCTCATCCCACTGGCTGGCTGTGGTCCTCAGCAGGTGAGGAGCTGGGAAGCCCTTTCCTGCCCCAGCTCTGGCTTTCCTCCCCATCGCCATTCCCTGGCTCTCCTGTCCAGGGATCTTCAGCTCAGGGGCTTTGTTTGGAGGGCTCGATATTAGGAAGCCCTGTGGGGCCATACACCTCAGCCCCTCACCTCCCACCTCCAGCCCCTGCGTGGTCCCCAAAGGCCCCCAGAGCCAAACCTGTGTCGCGGGTGGAGCTGCAGAGCATCGCACGCGGGGAATTTGGGGGGGGCACAGGCACACCTCCCCCCTCCCACCTCCGGCTGTAATTAGCAGCTTTGTCAAGGTCAGGCGGA